CACTCTGGGGAAGTCACACATTGATTGGAGGTCATCTCACCTGTGCTTTAAGGATGATTCTACTATACTCCTGAGAGGAACCCAAACAGCAAATGTGGGTGAAAACTGTTAAATGTGTGCAATAAGCCACAATATTAGGTGAGGGAGACAACATAGGAGGTAAACATAATTACTGTTTTAGAAATGAAAAACATAGCAGCAATGTGGAGGGTACCCTGGAGTGGGGACTACCACAAAGCAGAGACGTGAGGTTGTTCTCAAGTGTGCACCAAGTGAAGTTCTGGGAGTAGGTACCATTTCCTGTGGAGGTAGGGGAAAAATTTTAAAAGAAGAGCTAAAGAAAGTCTGCATTTTTAAGTAGTAATGGGATGGATGACAGTGTTTTTTTTTAATTCTGGTTAGGAAGCATAGCAGGATACTAACTACTGACTGGGGTTCTAATATTTAGAGAATGTCTTTATTCCCTGCCTAAAAACATTTCTCTCTCTCTACTTCTTCTCCCCCCTTTCTTCTTCCTTCTTTCTTTGCTCACCTCATTACTTCTCTGTAATATGCACAGAAACTGAAGCACATTTGAGAATTCAGTCAGCTTGTTTTAATAGTCGTTTCTAACATGGTCACTCCAGAAGTTGAGGGCTGATGCCTGGAATCAGGCTCTGCTCTTCCAGGAGCCTCTGTTGCATACGTTCCATTCCTTCTGCCTAAAGTTTATTCTCTATACCTGGCTTACATAGCCAACACTCATATAATTACCTTTCAACACCCAAATGACCCTCCATGACCCTTCACACCCTGTTGATTGATGTCCTGTAGGAATCTGCCAGGACTCCATTAGCATCTCTGTCTCCTGTAGTTAATGGAACTTCGGGGTTAAAAGTTTGTCTCGTTAAGCAAAATGGATTAATGCTATGCATTTCCCATGCTAAGCAGAATACATTGCAAATAGCACAAGTTCAAAAATGTACACTGAATAAATAATGAACAAATCTATGTTATGAAAATTGGCTAAGTGACAAGCCACAGAGAGGAAGGTCTTACAATGGCAGAGTGCTGCCACTCCTCAGCAACTGAGAATGAGTTTCACCTGAACTGTAAACATCCCTTTCAGGGCAGGTCTGAAGCCTCAGCTGAAATGGAGCTGGAATAAGAGAGGGTCCTGTGACTTCTTGATCAGTATTAAGGAGGCCAATATATTCCAGGTAGGATTCTCTTAGGGAATTCTCGGAGGAAAGCACACCCCAGTTATCCAACAAAGAGCTCTAATGCCATGCATGAGTTGGGCTCTTCACACACTGCTCATTTTTTAATATACCATTTCTTTACCATTTACTTTGGTCCTCTATATAACTCCATGATATAAAGTTTTATGTACAAAAACATTTATGAGGGCATAATGAAACATAGTTACTAGATTCCACAAATAAGCATAGAATTTTTCTATTAAACTGCAATGTTGGCTAAAAGAATAAAACTCAGTTTTATTTCTGAGATATAATTCTCACTTGAACTTCTCCAGTGTATTTAGTTATCACGTGTTGCCCCCAAGTTTTATCTCCTGTTTGCCTTCTGTCAAGAATTAAGAAGGCACTATGAGCACTGCGCATCCTGGTCCAGCTAACATGGGTGCAGAAGACTAACACTTCCTTCAGAGGCCAATAAGAACTGAAGAGGTCAATGCATGGATCAGAGCAGATGCAGATGAATTAGTAAAGTAGGCGGGGGACCGCAGTTCCCCCTGCTTGATCCAGACACTCTACCAGGGCAACTCAGTGGCTGCCAGTGTAATATAATGCCATGGTTCTAGCAGATTCTTTGGAGTCACACAACCTTGGGATCAATGCCCTGCTCTGTCTAACTTGGAATTTGTGACCTTTAGCAAACTACCTAGTCTTTCTAAACTTGTGTTTCATTATATAAAATGAAGATAATAATGGCAATTTCAGGCTTCTTTGTTTATGTCATGTACCTTATTTATTGTGTGTCCAGAGTATTCTATTAGCAATAGTAGTCTTAATCTCAACGTTTCTAGCATGGTTAAATGTCACTTCTTTCCTGGGACAATCCAAGTGAACAGGATGGGAAAGGGTGGGATGGAATTGTATGAAGTGTAATATAAGGGAAGGGAAAACAGGAGAGGAGAAAGAAGGGTGTAGAGGAGAGGAGGAGGGGGATAATGAGAGGAGGTTGAGGGGAGAGAAGGGCAAGGGAGGGGAGAAAATAATATGCCAATCATTTATTTTCCCTTATTATGTACAAGGAAGTTGCTACCTGCCCACATATATTTTCCTGTTGAATCTATAGACAATCACAAGAAATATAAATATTATTATTTTTCAGACATTGAACCGAAGGTAGAGAAAAATTGAGGGCTATGTCAATGTTCATAGGATCTAAAGCATACTTCCTAACCAAGTTAGAGACACATCCTAACAAAAGATCCTTTGCTTCCTTTTACCAGTTTGGGTAAAGCTCTCTTTCTTTTCTCTTTATCTAAATCAAGTTCATCTGCTTATGCCTGTGACTGATAAGGCATAGCTGGTTAACTGCCATTAGCCTGGCATTCATGACAGACTCCATGCAGATTATCAGGCATTCCATCATTGCTTTTAATGTACTATGGAGACATATGTCAATAAACATAATGTTCTGATTTTACAGATAAAGCAGCCGGATCTCAGAGTGGCACCAGTCATTGTAACACAGATATTGGCTGACAGATATACTTAAGGCATCCAGTTGTAGGTTTCTCATCTCAAAAATATTCATTATTTCATTTATTCATTATATATTTATTAGTTATCTTCTACATGTAGACATGGTACTAGCAATCTGATACATAGGACAATGCCATTTTCTTGCTACCCAACTAATAAGAGCAGTTCACATGGGTTTCACCTGCTTCATCCTGTTGATTTTCCAATAGGCCAGCAGAATTCTATCATAAATTACAATGTCTAAAGCTTTTCTTTCCATCGGTGCTTTATAAAAGCATGCCACTCTGGAATGTCCTCACATATTATTGTTTTTCTAGAAACATAGCCACATGCCAGAATCCATGACACAGTTCGTGGAGGTCTCTGAACTCTTTTTTTTTCCCCAGCTGTCTGTAATTGATAGCTGCTGGGAAAGGGAAAATCACTTTTCTTAGGTGGAGTGACAGTGGGTTTATCAACCACACGCCAGGGCAAACTCCCTTGCTCAGGAGCGGTCATACAGTAAAAATTGGACATCATGCTTTTTTGTCTGTTTGTTTCTGTCTACTCAGGAAAGAGAAAGACAATGAAGTTGGATATGTGTGGATGTGGGGGAGGAGCTGGGAGGACCTCGGGAGGACCTAGAATGTTATCAAAGTACATCATATAAAAGTATCAAATAAATAGAACCATTACTTAAAATAAACAATAAATTTAAAATGCTCTGTCTTTGCATGGTCTTTCATGTTTCCAAATATATATTTTTTCATTGTTTCGTTTTTGTTGTGTGAGGAAATTCATTGGGATTTTGAAGGAAATCAAGTCATGTCTATAGCATCTGTTCTACATACGGTACTGGCAGAACGAGGTACCTATGAACTCAGGTCCATATCACTCACTCCGTACAGAAAAACTCCATTTAAAATTGATCAGGAACCTGAATTTAAAACCCAAAATGCTGATGCTTCCAGCAGAAAACGAGGGAATGCACTTGAAGTTACAGGTACAGGCAAGAACTTTCTGAACAAGATTTCAATAGCACAGGAAATATCCCTAAATATAGACAAATGGGACTAGATGAGATTAAAGTGTTTCTGCACAGTTAGTAAACTACCTCAGAGATGAAACTGACATCCAGAATATATAAAGAACAGAAAAAATTAAACACCCTGAACCACAAAACTGCCACTTAATAACTGGGTTGATGAACAGATAGTCCTTAAAAGATGAAACAAAAAAGCCAAGTTATGCATATTTTAAATGTTTAGTATCCTTAACAATCATAAGGCAAATATAAATTAAAATCACTTTGATATTCCATATCACCCCCGTCAATTTGGCTATGACAAGCACAACAAAGACCAAGAAGATTATGAAGAAAGAAGAATCCTTTAATCGCTGTTGGTGGGTGTGTAAACTGTTGAAGCAAATATGGAGGTTCCTGCAAAAAATTAAAAGTAGAACTACCATATGACTAAACTGAACCATTCTTCGGTATACTCAAAGACTATGTGTACTACCACAGATAAACGTACACTCACGGTCACTGCTGCCGCACTATTCACAATATCTAGAAAATGGATTTTCATCCACAGATGCCTGCATAGTGAAATGTAGCCTGCTAAGGAAAATAAATGAAATTTTAGGGTTTCTGGAAAGTAGAAGGCCCTCTAGTCTCAGAAAGACAAAATTCACACGTTTCGCCTCATAAGAAAACCCTAACTTTTCATGCTTACACACACACACACACACACACACACACACACACACACACACATGTAGATGATCAGCTGTGGGGCGTGGTGTGCACTGTGACACCAGGCAGGCAGCCGTGAGAGGGCAACAAGAAGGAGAAGCAACGCGAAAGTGACGTAATGCAAAAGGTCACATGTGACGGGAAAACTGATAGGAGGCTGTTAGGGGTGCAACACGTCAGAATGGAGGGATAGAGAGGATGGGGAGAGAGATGACAATGCAAATTTCATTTGGAAAATGCCTAAACGAAACCCAATTCTTTGTAAGCTAACGAAAACTAGAAAGAAAGAAAGAAAGAAAGAAAGAAAGAAAGAAAGAAAGAAAGAAAGAAAGAAAGAAAGAAAGAAAGAAAGAAAGGAGGGAGGGAGGGAGGGAGGGAAGGAGGAAGGAAGGAAGGAAGGAAGGAAGGAAGGAAGGAAGGAAGGAAGAAGGAAAGAAAGAAACTGCTTTGATACTGAAAACCAGGGCAGAGCTCATTGGTAGAGATCTCAGAGCAAGCTGTGCATACGTCTTGTGCAACAGCCTAATTTCCACAGCGGATGATGTCACCACAACTGTCCTATAAATGGAGCAAAGCTTCAGGTGCACCCAAGCAATTTATCTGCACCAATACCCAGGACTACAGGAATGGCTGTCTCAGTTCTACGACTGACAGTTGTCCTGGGACTGTGTGCCCTAATCCTGACAAGCCAGGCAGGTAAGTGTTTCTGATCACAGCCCAGAAACTCCAGAAACTCTGCCTTAGTTAGCAATGCTGGGTGGAAGCTGGCTCAGAACATAAAGGGGGAGGGATATTTGGCATCACAGAAAGAACACTGGGGCTGGGAGGTTGGAAACACATCTAATACAGAAAGCAGTTTTATTAAACTTGATTCTGATTGTATCAACCAACTATAGTAAATGTATGGTGTTTGGAATGAGTCTCTTTTCTTATATTCTTAAGATATGAAGTGACACTATGACATTATAAATTCATTGAGAAGTGTCTGTGGAATGTTTTAGTGATTATGATTAATAATATTCAATGACAAAGATAATTTCCAGAAGCACTCTATAGTGGTTCTACTGCTAAATAGAAATTTAAATTGAGGCATGATATCTAATACTTCTAGATGTGACACAAATAAGGAACATTAATTGCTAGCAGTCACACAAATAGGTCATAAAATTTAAATAAAAGAGACAACAGCTTGGAGTAGTGCCTGGCCAAGAAAATCACTGAATAAATACTAAATGTTCTTGTTATCATGTATAAATAAATTATTTTCAGGCTTGAGGACAGTTTTACTAGAGTTTAAAAGAAAAACACCCCAGACAGTTTGTTTGTCTCAATGTGTATGTGTGAGTTTGTATAGAATGCTCTTTGCCAGTGTGGAGATCAGATACATGGTGTCAGGACAGGGAGGCGGCTTAAGCAAAGGAGCTAAAAAGGCCTAAAGTACCAGAAAAACCCAAAGTGACTGGGAAAGGTGCATGCTTAATATAGAGACAGAATAAGATCAAAGTTACAGTTTTTGAGTACTTCAGGCAATCTGGCTGTCTCACCAAGCTGCCTGGGTATAACTTGGTAAGCTACTGTGCCAAGGATTTGGAATTCTGGGAGGAAAAAAGTACAATGTTTCATTAAAGCAAAACTTATTCCAGACATCTCTTTGGCATGGATTAAGGGAAACTCATCTTCCTTCTTTGTAAGGGGTGGTCCCTTAGCCAGATGACCTACACGGTACTAGTGAAATGTTAGGTCTCCACCCAGGCCAGAAATTCTATCCTCTTGACCTTCGTTGCTACTCTAACATGATTCATTAACCTTAGAACCATTTAGGAACCATGTCAGGCAGAGACCCCAAAACATTTCTGGCATCTTTGGCCTCTGGTAAAGACAAGGTTGCTAAGAGACACAAATTCATTTGTTTTTAGCAGAGAAAGAATTGAGTACTTTCAGGTTTTTTTAAAACTTAAACTGCTTAGGTGATTTCTACCTCCTGTTCACGCTCTAGGAGACTCTAAATTCCTTCATGCAATTACTATGGCAATGGCCAGCATGGCTTCATATAGCTGAAAGAGGTTGTTGGGTACCACAGTTCAGGAACCAGTTCAGTGGGTCTATCTAAAAGGCCCCAAATGAGCATTGGCAATTTCGATAAAGCCATGTTTAGAGAGGTAAGGAAGTCCTTAACTAGTGCCCAGAAAAACGTATGAAAGAGAAGACAAAGTTAATTAGCATTGCTGGCCCTAGCAAAGAATCAGGGGAAGCTAAAGCAGAGGATGCTTTTAGAATACCCAAATCAAAGCCCACTAGAATATCTTGATGGGCTCACTAGAGCATGCATCCAATTGGTCTGGTTCTTGTTTTACTCTTGACTTTTGGCCTCTGGATTAGACTAAAGCGGATGAACTCAGGCTATGCTTTCAGTAGCTGTTTCAGTGACTATAAGGACAGTGTGGGATTCTTCCAAGATGACTTCCAGAGTGGGAGAGAAAAAGAAGAAGTTTAATCATCCTGTGCTTTTTAATGGAAAACAACAGTGGAGTGGTCTCATCTCTCTTGACTGCAAGGAGACAGTTCAGTGCTAAAATGGAGCCAACATCCTGATGTCTTCTATCTTGGGTAACATTTTCCATACCAAGGAGAAAAGTATTAGTGAGACATGGTTGTCTGAATACCATCTCATATGTACTGAAGTTTAATGTCTGCGAGTGTGATTCCGTGGACAGTTAACTAACATAGGTCTTTACCTTTTCTGTACTTTCTTGTCAGATGTATAAAACCATGCAGATGCTCACAATTAATCATTTTCATTTTTTTCAAGACCAGTTGATGTTATGATCCTCAGGGATTGAAAGAAATCCCTGGCTTCTTTGGTCTTCCTTTTACCATTAACACTCAAGGGACACACATGTATCCCTAGTCATGGATGATGAAGGACAAGGTGTATGAGTCCTATAGTCACCATGCTTTCTTCTCTTACTTTCACACAGCCTTCTGGTCCCCAAATATTATCAATTTCTCCATCCAATATGATAAAAATTTTGTATCTTAAAACATTACCCAGGGAGAAAACTTGCACAAGATTTGTAAAAATCATTGTTCATAAAATTAATAGGTGATATAAAACTGGCAGAAATTATTTGTCCTTTATCTTCTGTTTAATCTCAAAAATAAAGTTCAGGTTGTATACCTTTCCTGCAAAGAGCACACAGTTTCTTCCACAGAATACTGTAAAAATCTAGATATCAGACATACATGACCTGGGGTTATATTTCTATCACCTGGTAATTCTTTCTCTTTCAAACAGCTTTGAAATCTCTGTCTACCTCTACTTCTTCAATTTTAAATTGGCTTAGTAATTTTCTTACCACATGGAATTGTGAAGATAAACTGATACAGAACATGGGGACTACCAATGAAGATTTTTATCTCCTTTATATTACCATTGGCAAAGAAATCACGTGAAAACAATGGAGTCCTTTATTACATGGACAGCTAGCTTTTCTATGTCTCAAACCTGATACTGACATTAGTGTAATGCAATGTAGCTGTAGATAAGAGCATCTATTGGTATTGGTGACTACATTAAATGTCCTGGAGCTTTCATACAGTAGCCGATGGAAGTAGAAGCAGAGATTCACAGCTAAGCACTGAGCAGAACTCCTTGAATCTAGTTGTGGAGAGGGAGGAGTGATGAGCAAAGGGGAAACCCACAGAAACCGCTGACCTGAACAAGTGGGAGCTCAGAGACCCCACTCTGACAGCTGGGGAACCTGCATAAGACTGAACCAGGCCCCCTGAATGTAGGTGCCAGTTGGGGGGCTTGGGCAGTCTATGGGGCTGCTCGCAGTGGAACCAGTATTTATCCCTAGTATGTGAATGGGCTTTTTGGAGCCCATTCCCTATGGAAGGATACTCTCTCAGCCTAGATATGGAGGGAGGGCCTATGCCCTGCCCCAAATGATGTGACAGGCTTTGATGAACCCCGTAGGTGGCCTCACTCTCTGAGGAGTGGATGTGTGGTGAGATGTGGAGATGTTGGGGGGAATGGGAGGATGGGAGTAAGAGCAAACTGGGATTGGTATGTGAAATAAGATTGTTTCAATTTAAATAAAAAAGATTGTCTTGGTCCTCTTCAGAGAAGCCTCTACTTTTAGTGGATGACGATTAACACAGATACACTCTCCACACACACAATTGTCATCATGCAGAGAACAAGACTGTGGAGTGCTCAGCCCCAAACCAGATATTCCTATCACACCATTCTTCTCTAAGGCTCAGAGAGCTTCATGAAAAAGTCCTTGGAAGGATAGTAAAAGCCCGAAGTAGTTGATAACATAAAGAAACCATTGTTTTCCAGACACACCAGGGTAGATACACAGCAGCTTGTTTCAGCATGCACAAGACCTTCACAATTCCAACAAAATAAAATCTCAGCTTAAATAAGGTTGATTTTTAAATAGACATATTGTTAATTTTTGAAATATAATTTTGGACTTTTCATCTATACTGTTTAATGCAGTTCAAGCCGATAAATCTTTCTGCAATGATGGGGAAAGGCAGGGAGTGTCTGGACATGAAACCCACCACTAGCTGAGGAACTCTTGGCATTTGATAGCTACTGAGAGAAGTCACTTTTCTTTAACACCTCACCCTGATAGGCTGACAGACACTAGAACAGATACAAGTTAAAAACTAGCTAGGAAACACAAACTGAACTTGATGGAGAGAGAATAAAGGAAATAGAAGTAATCTCAAAGTTGGATGGGAAGGGATGGGAGCATGGGAAGGTTGGTAAATGGGGGGAGCTGGATTGAACACGCTCAAAATACACTGCATGAAATTCTCAAGGAGTAAAAGTCTTACAAAAAAAGGAAAGTTACCTCTGTGTTGTTTTCTTGTTAACCAAATGTAGCCAATATCTACCTAAATGTCTGTTACTCATTTGCTTTTAGTAATAATGAGATAATGTTGTAAAGACGTCAGCCAGACAGGCACTGGATGCTCAGCAACAGGAAGATATAACTAATGAGTTGGAACCAGGTGGATACCAAAGAGCTCAACAGCTCCCACATGAGAAACAGATTTACCATTTTAGTTGCTAACAACGGCATCTGAGAATCTTTCCTGTTTATTTTTTGTTTTCAGATGATAAACCAAAGGAAGATGACAATTCAGATGAGAAATCAGATAACAAGCCAGAAGACTCCAGTAAAAAACCAGAGCCAGAGTTCCCAAAATTCTTAAGCCTCTTGGGTTCTGAGATCATAGAGAATGCAGTAGATTTCATCCTTCGGTCAATGTCCAGGGGGTCGTAAGTACTGAGATTCACCTCGCTTTTGCCAGCTTCACTGTAGATAATAACTGCATTCATGAAACCAAATGAAATGCAACTAATGCATGCATTCCTCTTGGAAAAAAGTGTTACCTTAAGTACAGTTTACATATGAATGAATTGCCCTGAATTCTAGAGTGAGAGTAGATCCTTCAGGCAATATTTTAAAATCTCAGGGTCATTAATAGGAGGGCAAACGGACTCTGAAACGAGAAATGGAAGACAAGCTGTGCCCTTGATAACGAAAGTGAGGAGTCCTGTGTTTGGTTTCTAGTTTGAGTACCTCAGGAGGTCTAGTTGAAGTAGCTGATCATCTCTCTTCAGACATAATGTGCAGAACTCCCAGGAGTAGCACACTGGCCACCAGGAAGGATGATGCAACGCAGAGTCTTTCTAATATTCCCAGTCTGCTTCTTATTACCCCTTAGATTTGACATACCTGAGATTTGACATCACCTCTCATTATTCTTCATACATTTCAGTCTGTACCCCCTGAAAGTTGCTGATTTTAATTCATTTTTATCTAGAAACCTAAGTGGAGTTTTACAAAACTCTGATTAATTACCTACCAGTTTCACGACACAGTGGATAATTATGCTTGAGTTAGTCTTTCTGCATTCCATAGCATAGCTTATCAAAGTCAGGGCTAGCAGTACCGTTTTTCATAAGCTTTCTGGGTAAATCTTATACGAAAGCCACACCTAACCAGGTGCTCAGCTGTGGAGCTGAGTCCTAAAGTTATACCAAACCTTGAAGTTCTGTTCATGTTTACATCACTTCTTAAATTCAATCAAGAACAAATAAAACATTTTTATAAAGGAGTAGTTGGTTCTCTTCTTTTAGTCTTTGATATGCTTAAAATCTATATGTTTATTTATATACGGTTCTGCTTATGAACCTTCTCCACAAATTATTAAAACTCAAAGTTGATATATTTTGTTGTTTCATTTCCTTTTGGGTAATTTTTATTTACATATGTTGTCTCCTCATGATTATTAGTAAAGACAAGAAGGAAAGTCATAAGAAATGAATAAGTAAAACATTTGATCTATGCAAAATACAAAACAGCTAATAATGTCATCTACACAGCTTAGCAAATCAAGGAGACAAAATAATTACTTCCCCTCCACTAGGGAAGTCCCTTTATATAATATGTCAAATACACCATTGTACTGTCCTGAAAGTTTACTATGCGTTGCGTTAAGGACTTGGAGATTCTGAGCTCAGGGGCCCTGGGCAGTAGATCAGTGTTTACCCCTGGCATACAAAAGGACTTCATGTGTCCATAACACAAAGAGGGATGCTCTCTCAGCCTGGACTCTTAGGGGAGTGCTTGGACCCTACCCTGAATGAAATGACAGACTCTGGATATCCCCTATGTGGAAGGAAGTGGGGATAGGGTGGGAGGCTGGGGGAGATGGTGGAGGGGTACTGGGATTGACATGTGAAGCAAGCTATTTAAAATTAAAGTGATAAGAAAGAAAAAGTTAAAAAAAAGAAATGTTACCTCCTTGTCTATATTTCTCTACATCATATTCAGAGCAGAGTTCTGCTTTGAGATACTAGAACTTTGGATGAGGTCTGGCATGCTGCCTTAGGGCTGCCTTCTACCTTCAATGCACAGTGTACTTCTTACTGCTTGGTTCTGGAGCTCACTCATCTTCATACTCCTCAAAAAACAATTCTGTTATCCTCTTATTACTATGCTCTCCCTCCCTGCTCACTGTTCTCTGTCATTTTGCTTTTAGAAGGTGTAATATTATTTGCAATATTCTAAAACTATTTGTTTGTACTCATGTAGCTTAATGAAACACAGAAACAAGATAGGTCTATCTAGTACAAATATAATATCAGAGCATCTTTCCCATGGTGTCAGACAATTAGTAAATAATTATCCATTTGATGAAATAGTTAAAGAAAATAACTTAGAGATTGTACCTAAAGCCCATGTATTTTAAATCAACTATGGAAACCTAAGGGGTTTTGTTCAAAAGCAAATATCCCTTGTTCAAGTGAACAAATATAGTTAAGGGTGGAGTCAGGATGTCAAGCATACTACAGAAGTTCATTCCCAGATGAAGACCACAGGTGTTGTTGGAGGTGTTGCATGAGAGGAGGCTTCCAAAAAAAAAGCTTTGCTAGGATCTTAATGAGTGAAAAGTTAGGATGTAAACTGTGAAGGATAAGATCTTATATGCAAATTCCTTCTTTAAAAGTCTTTAGTCTTTATGGCTAGATAACATAAGTTAATACAAAGACAACTACAAATGACCAGCAAGATAAATTCTATCTGCATATCATAGAGTATTTCCAGAGTAGGCAATGGGGCCAGCACCCACTGGAAAGCTCTTAGGGGAAAATGTAAACTATAATTTAGATAGTTAAAAATAGATAAAATGTAGATATATACAAATTTGTTCATGTCATCATCAAAAATAAAAAAACCCACAAAGCTGCTCACTCACTACCATTCCTGAAACTCTTCCATGAATTTCCACCAATCACACAGCAAAGCACATGCCTATGACTGATGGTAAAGGTCTGTCCTAGATGTCCTTGTATTTCCTGTTATCTCCACCATCCATCTCACCAGATACCTCAGCCTGACACACAGATGATATGTGTAGGAACCCTCAATGACTTTGCATAAGCTTTTCCTTCCTCTGCCAACAGTTTAGTCTGCAGTCTACCATTCTTTATCTGTTCAACAAACTTAATTATTTTCTAAGGCCCAGTTCAAAAACAAGCTCTGAGAAGTTACAGATTCCTACAATTTTGGGGTTACAAAATTCAGGATCTTTTTGTTTTGTTTTGCAGCTTGGAATCCACAATACTTTGTATTGTCGATACAAAGCAACTGATATCATCCTTAGTGGAGTAAGGGATGGTTTATTCTGGAGACACTTTGAGTGACCATGGCCAAGGAGCACAGATTTAGGTTACCCCAAATTCCATGTTCCCACATGAAGGCAGTTTCATGAAGTTTTTGTAATGTTACAGGACAGAGAAAGTCATAAATCAAGACAAGTTTAAAAACGTTGAGGTGTAAGTCACAGAGGCAGGTACATTGAGATGGATAAATCTATTTTATGGGCTCAAAATGCTATCTGATGATATTCTTAGCTTTTGGATTAGTAGAAACTAGTGGTCTTCTAAATTAAAAGATTCCAAAAGGCTTTAATCTACTGTCACAAGATAATAGTTCTCATGTGGGGTGGGTGGGGAAATGGGTAATGGTATGTAATGACTGTTCTAGAAGGTGAGACCTAGCTCAAGATAACGTAATTAGCCTCTGGAATGGCAATATTCCAATCTCTTCACAATTCTGATCAGCCAGCCAGTCTCTGTAGACACAGATTCCTTTAGGGAGCTTTCATTCACAGCCAAAATGCAGCTTCTTGCTGGGAGTTCTCCATTCTAAATATGAATCTGTAAAATAGTGTTCCCATATTTGTTTTAAATGACCTGTCCCTGAACACATTCCTGTTCTCCATTAGGCTGCAGTTTATTCAAAAACCAGGTATTTGCATCAAACTATATTTGCATCATCTTTCATTATCTCAAAACCTACCCTGCTTCCCTGCCTATGAACTATAGAGGGTAGTGTGTATGGAATTTAGTCATCACTCTAGAGAATTCAGCTTTGAACTTTGCAGTCTATCAGCCATTTGTTGTGAAAATGTGGTTTCATATTTTTTGTTGAGTTTTTTTCACCTGTAAAAGAATTATAAAAGTTAGTAAAACAAACATACTCAGATTCGTATTGTATGTTAGATCCCATTTTAAGTGCTAGCATTATACATATGTGTGTATGCATAGATAGCACACACACATATATATGCATAGCTATCACTATATATATACATATATATACACATACATACATAATGCTTGCTGCTTAGAGGATTTTATTAAAGGATCACTAACTAATAGGTTTGTTACTGAATTCAGAGGTAATCATGCCCAAATATCTTGACAGCTATAAACTATTGTGAAAATCTTAGGTCTTACTTTACTTTCATATAGGAAAATCAGGAAAATAAAATTAAACCTCAACTATGAGAAGGTTTGTCCTAGGCACAGCAGTACAGGTTTGTAACCCAGATTACTTGAGAGACCGAGGCTGAAGAGTCACACATGTGAAGCTAGCTAGGGAACAAGTGAGACTCAATTTCAAAAATATAGTAAAAGTGAAAGCTTCAAATGTAAAGAAATTAAGAAAGAAAAGGCAAAATGAGACAGTGTGGTAATGAGATCATGCTGACGTTCTCATAAATTTGCATAACTCCTGCTTATTTTTTTCTTCTTCTTCTTCTCTTTCTCAAGAAGTTTTATGGAACTTGATGAGGACCCTGGACAGCCACCTTCAAAAGTGACACCCTAAGGTGATTTAACTTATACTTTGCAGGTAAAATAATAGCATTTTAGACACAGAATACAGGGGTTTGGGTAATTACATTCATTGATTTTCCAGGATTTCATACATAATTATAACCAGAAAGGTAGGTATTTTTTCTGTTCCTTCTTTGTCCTAATTGTAGTTTGTTTCTAGAATTACACTGAAATGTCTATATTGTTATCATCTTACTTGTCAACTTACTGGGAGGTTCTTAAGGGAGAAGTGTGGCATGAAACAATGAGCTATGGGGATGAAAAAGTCTGATCCCCGCTACAGTTCTCCTCAGAACCTGCTATTAGATTTCTGTCCCCTTGACAAAAGCCTGACATAATCAGGCTATAAAGAGTAGTCATTCATTTTGGCTCTCAGTTTTCAAGATTTCACTCTCCAGTGCACTGGTGTCACTGCTTTGGGACAATAGTTAGGGGATACATCATAGCAGGGGTCGGTGAAGCCCTCAGCTCATGGCCAAGAAGAGAATGAGAGGCAAACCAGAGTTGCTGAAGATTTTCTTCCTCCCCCAATAGCACTGAGCTAGTGATCAAGTCTTTCACACTTGGGCCTTTGGGAGAGCATTCCACATCCTAACTCTAGCCTGCTTTGTACAAGCCCACCTGTGAAATATGAGGGCAGTGCACACTTAAACAGTAAAAAAAATCTTAAGCACTCACGAAATCATGCAGTTAGTCAGTCATGGGAGGAGACGAATTTGCTGTGGTCAGTCCATGGAGAAAACACCGGCAATTTCTCTGCCACACATAGACACGTGTGCAAGCCATGTGGTTTGAATTCCCAGAACACACATTCTTTTCTTTATTCAATTATCTCCTGAGAACTTGGGTTGCGATATAAAAACAAACATTTAGGAGATGGAAAAGCAGTATCAGTACCTGACTTGAAATGAGCTACAGATTCATTTTAAGTGCTGGATACATACCTAATTTATAGTCTCTGTAGAAGATAAACATCATTTCTTAAGTTTCACAAATGAAAAAAGGAAGGTATGGGAACAATTGTTGATATGACCACATCAATAAGGAAGGAGGAAGAGACTGGTATTGAGTCCCATGCCAGGATATGCGTCCTATATCTAAGCCATCTATCACCACTAGAGAGCAGAGAATGGCATATGAGGAAGCAGCTGAGAGTAATGATTAAGCCAAGATGCTTGCTTAAATGAAATGCTTCCCTTTTGGTTAGTTGATTTGCTTTATGTACACCTCCAGAAATCACGGCCTTTCCCAACATCTGTTGTTATCTGGGCTGGGAAAGTTCCTTTTCTCTACTGGCTCCATTTCATAATTTAGGTGTGGCCAATGTGAGCTCAGAAAGCCACTATTACATTGTGCCAGAACACAGCCTACTCTTTCATGAACTTTGAAGGATGGAAATAAGGCCTGCACATTGTAATCAAGATAGGCCCTACACACATAATCCCAACTCTTGCTCAAAGCAAGATACACTTCCAAAAACATTCACTTGTGGGTTCATGTTTCCACCTTCTCCTTGGGAAAGAGTTTTCCTCTTGTTTCAAGTGTCCTAATACCTTGTCTTCATTCAGAATGCTGCTATACACCCGTAATCATTTGTGCCCATGTCCCAAATCCTTGCAGGGCCAACCTAGGCTTCAGTGTAGGAGGAATCAAGTAGGTGAGGCATTACGGAGGAGTAAAAGATCCGTTGGCAGCAAAATGGTACAAGCTCGGCCTATACCGTGGACACCTGCTGTCTGTGCCTCCACTGATGAGGGCCTCCACCTCCTGAAACCTCATTTCTCTCCTTTTGAATTTGAAACACTAGAGGAATGTAGTGATTCCAGAATGGAATAGGAGGATTTTGTTTTTTTAGCTACCCACTAAAAAAGTCTTGAAAAAATAGATTTCTGAATGAACCCTAGATGCCTTAAGAATTCATGAAAAATAGTTGAATATGGAGTTGTAAAAAATGAATAAATAAATACAATTTGGATAAGGAGTATCTCTTTAAATGACCAGGACATGGTCACTTATGGATAGCTCTTAATGGGTAAGTTGAGAAGTTTTGGTTCTATGGTAACTGTCTGATCTAATCAAAAGCAAGTCATCACTTTACAATTAAGTGATTCACAGCAATGTCTCTTTCTCCAGCTCAGAAAGTGTGAACAGACTTCTATTTATTTCTTAAACTAAGATATATAGATTAATGTGGCTGGAGCATTATTTCAAAAGTCTGCGTGACTACTGTTCTTGAAAGGGCCTGTTTGCTTCCAAGATCCCATGTGGAGTCTCTCATAAGTGCATGAATCCAGCTACAGGGCAGCCAAGAAATTTAGTCTCCCTGAATATATGCATGCAAACACACAGACATTCACAGGCATATAAAAAGAATTAAAGTAAATCTTTTAAAAATATACACAATTGAAGATAATTGATAGAGAATCCATAGGTGTCCTGCATTTCTTTAAGCAATGTGGTTTTTCTTTGTACTATGTATCACCTTTAATCACACACTCCTTTAATAAGTATTTAATCTATTCCAATTACATGTTAACTTTGTCAGTGTTGCCAATAGAAAGCTTGTCATCTGAGCTATCATTGAGCTGAGTGTACCCTGAGAACATGCAGGTAAATTACAGGTACCTATGGGAGGGCTTGGCAAATGTCTTGGGCAACAGGGAACCCCTGCAGGATGGGTAAGCATGACAAATGCTTTACAAAGAAGATTAACTGTGTGAGGTCTACACACAGTATCAGGGAATGAAGAGAGATCAGTTCAGAGATCAGAAAATAAAGGCATTCCAGCAGTTGAACACCTGATTAATATGAAATCCTCTCAACCTCAGCTCCCCTACACTGATGTGACTTCTACTAGGCATAGGGTTTCCAAAAACGCTGAACTCTTACTGTCCTGAATTATTTGAAGCCACTTGGATTCAATTTGTTCCCTCTTTTATCTTAAGTCACTTGACATATTTGGCTATAAACTACCTTTTCTCCTCCCCCCCCCCAAAAAAAGAGATAAACCTCATTAGCTAACTAGTCAACTAAGATCTTCGGCATAAACAGTGAAAAAGAATGTCCTTTACTAATTTTTTATTTCTATGCCCATTACTTTTGTTAAGAAAATCTGTATTTTGGACACACAAAGTCTTGTGCTTAGATTTACTATGTAATACCTAAAAATAAGTAAATTAATTGAAAAGTTCTGATGCAGCTGATGACCACAATTAAAGTTGGGCACACTATGGCCTCTCCTAGGACCTTTTGGTCTCCTCCAATCACAAAATGTATGTGACTACTGTGTCTTTTCCATTTATCAAGTGTCCAGGTCATCATGACAATGTCTTTGTTCATCCTTAAGTTTGTTCCGCTTGCATTCCATACTTGCCTTTGTCACTGAGTAGTTGCTTACATACCTTTTTTTGTTTGTTTCTGTTACTTTACATATATTCTCAAACCTGTTTGACAGTTGAATCCTCTCATGCTTTAAAGTGCAGAAGCATTAACATTTTAAAGAAAAGGTAGAAAGTCTTCACTCTATTTGTTAAGGCAAAATGTCAATTCTCCACCTCTCTCTACTTATGTTTTGAAGGCCACGCCCATCTGGCAGCTGGACAAAGCAAGGACAGCCAGATCCTGATCATCCAGTTCTGTTTCACAAAGTCATCCAGAACCAGAGACCTCAAGGCAGCTCCCAGCAAGTCACCAGGAACGGATCCCCACTTTCAGACAAATGCAATCCATTTGAGCTCTTTGACCTTACATTCCTCTTTCTACAAAGTTCGAAAAAAGTATCCTCTTGGAATTATAGAATTACATATTTGGGGTTCCTGGCAATTTTCTCTGGAGTGTTTAATGAAGCAAAAAAATGAGATTATACAGTACATATACATATGTACATAAGCAAACTCAAGGCTTCTTCGTATGTACAATATAAGTATTATGGTAACATATTCTAAAGGACCAAGTAAAATATTTAAAATAAAAAAGACAAGGAGTTGTAGACAGAGGATTTTAATCTTGCTCCAAAAACTAATTTCTTAATTTCTAAAGATATATGACGTTTCACTGTTTTACACATTTTTAAAAAAAAGTTTTTCTTTAAAAATATCTGAGCCTCATGCCCTGTGTCAGTGAACTCAGCATTGATTCACTGATTTTCCTCTATTCATCCAAGTGTCTCTTTCTCCTCCATGGCCATTATTCTCCTTCTAGAATGTCAAGGTGTTGAGGAGGGAGAGTGTCTAAATTGCTGAGTGCAGCCCCTTCACACGACCACTTCAGTGCACAGAGCTGAGCCTTGAGTAGCCACAGCCCCACTTGACAGACACATGCTCCCCCACCTACTTAGTATGTTCAGGAGAGCAAGACTGAAGTCATGGAGCAAGGTGACCACGGCAGCCCCGGAGTCTAGAAAACGCACCCACTCTGATTCTACTGTTCAGTTCACCAGATTTGCCCCTGGGTCCCGTCCTTCTCAAGCAGTGTTCCTGTTCCCAATGCCACCTTGAATGCAGCCATGGTGTTTCCATAGCTATTACTTATCTATTTTGCTGTTTTTATTTATCTGTGATAGGTTCTCATACAGCACAAAGAACTGTCAATGATATAGATGGACAAACCAAGATTGAATACTGAACCAGTGGGAAATGAAAATGAACGTTGAATTTTACAGTGAATTGGGATGACCTTCTCTTTGCATTTTTTTGGAGAATGATGTCAGTTTTAAATGTCACAGCCTTCCTAACCAAGTTACCTAAAATTTCTATTAAACTCAGCATCCGACAATTAGAATGCCTCTCTGTACCAATCGTGCTAAAATCTATTTTCAGGGCTTTATGGGTCTTTGGGGGGAGGCATTGTTTGTAGTACTGTGGGTTAAACCCAGAGTCTTTTACATGCTGTGCACGTGTTCTGTCTCTAAGCAAGATAGAGACAGAGATGACACAGAGACAGGTAGACAAATAGAGACAGGGAAAATAGGGGGGAGGAGAAGAGGAAAAGAGGAAGGTTGGAGAGAGAGAGAGAGAGAGAGAGAGAGAGAGAGAGAGAGAGAGAGAGAGAGAGAGAGAGAGAATGAGAGAGCATTCGCACCTATGTGGGCATCAGGAGCACCCATTGCATGGAGACCAGAGGAGAGTATATATCAGTCTTCTCTATTTCTACCATTCTCTGCTTCATTTCTTTGTGACAGGGTATGTCCTTGAACTTGGAACTTGAGTGTTTTGGTCGCTTGGCAGTCAGCAAGCTCATGTGAGTCTCTTCTTTCTACCTCCAATGCTGTGTTTACAGGCCTTGACAGGACCACACCCAGTTTGCTACTTGGGTGCTGGGATCCAAACTCAGGCCCTTACTATTGCACACCATGCACTCTTAGACACTGAGGTGTATCCTTAGTCCCCTTCAGACTTTAACTCACTAATTTGTACTTGTAAAGTAATTTTACTACAACAAATCAATGCATTACCATGTAAGCAACACACTTGTCATCCATTCTGAATCGACTCTTTCAGAGTGGGACTGAAAATAGGAACAGGTTCATTGTCGATAAAGGATTTGGAGCAGAGCTAAGCAACCGCTGTTCAAGAACTCTGGAAATTCATTTTTGTTTTGTTTTGTTATTGTTTTTGTTTTTTCAAGACAGGGTTTCTCTGTGTAGCTTTGTAGACCAGGCTGGCCTCGAACTCACAAAGATCCTCCTGCCTCTAGGCACCACCACTGCCAGGCAATTCTCAGTTCTTTACAAAAAAAATTTCTCAGCCTCTGCTGTTACCTTTTCCTTACACTCCATTAAGATCCACATGTTCAGGCATCAAATATATTCAATTTGAAAAGAAAAGCTTTTTTATATGAATAATGTTTTTCTTTTATGATCTTGTGGTCTCAAGGAAACTTCATAGTGTGATTGAAGATAGGTAGAGAGGCTCCCTGTGCCCAACTGGGTTTAAGCACAGGACTCCAAAGGCAGGAATAGAGACTGAGTGAACATCAAAGAAGCATGTGTGACTCCAGACATAGCATCTATGGCCTTGGTGGATATGATTAACACCACTTATTCTGACTTCACAAGTTCCTCCCTTCACTCCACAGTTTGTAGATCTGCATTATGCCCTTCATGTAAGTGGTGGTCAAAAGGAGAGATTCTATTTGAACAGACTTCAAATTGTACCAATTCTTTTGACCACTGGACATCCTTTTTTCCTAAGAAATGACTATGTTTCAGCATTATTTATAATATACAGAACCTGGAAGCAACCTAAATGCCCCTCAACTGAAGAGTGGATAGAGAAAACATGGTACATTTACACAATGGAGTACTACTCCATGGGGGGGAAAACAGAATTTTGAAATTTGCAGGCAAATGGATGGTACTAGAAGAAACCATCCTGAGTGAGGTAACCCAGTCACAAAAAGGCAAGCATGGTATGTACTCACTCATATATGAATTTTAGATATGGAGCAAGGGAATGCCAGCCTACAATCCTACTGCCAGAGAGTCTGGGAAACAGGGAGGACCCTATGAAAGATATGCATGGTACCCCAGAGAACAGGATCTCCTGAGCAGATTGGGAGTATGGGGGAAGAGGAGAGAGAGATGGGGGAAAAAAGAGGGAGAGAAGAGAAGGGAAGAGGAGGACATGGGAGAGCAGAAAGGTTGAGTCAGGGGAAGAATAGAGGAGAGCAGGATGAGAGATATCATAATAGAGGGAGCCAATATAGGTTCAAAGAGAGATCTGGCACTAGTGATATTTTCAGAGATCTGCAAGGATGACTTCAAGTTGCATCAAGGCTACTTTAAAGGCCCTCCCCCGATAATTATATTGATGACTACCTTATATGCCATCACAGAGTACAGAGACTGGAGTCTCCTGGAAATTTTTGGGTTTACTGCAGTCCTAACCACTAGAACTCAAAAACTTGAACGTGTGCCCACACTTTCAGAGACTTCCACCAATGGAAAGCAAAGGGAGTTACTCTAACAGTAGATTACTCTTTCTTCAATGCCTGTCAATTCTCTGGGCCTCCCAAAGTCTACTGACTGGTGAACCACAGAAGCTCAGTCTGCGACAAATAACATGCTGTTTGTTCTCTTCCTTCAAAAGAAACAAGAACAGAGGAAGAAGAAAGAAATTTGTCTGATAGCAAATGGTTCTAAGACTGTGATAGGCCCAAGGATGTAGAATGCAGTAACACTCTCCATAGGAAAGAAAAACTTGAGTTTTTATGGTCTGTTAGCACGAAAGAGGTTCAATGATATGTTTTATGTGTCTGGGACTGGATTATACACATAAAAATGATACTGATGAGGTTAGAAATGTGTGTAAAGAGCTCTACATGTCATAATTAGAAGGTTTAAATCTATTCTGCAGGTGGTCATAGCAGAAGCAAAAATTCTGCCTTGGAAAGGCAAGTTCATCGTTGTTGCAGATGCTAGATTTAGAAACACAAATCTAAGGACAGTGTAATAAAGGCCTAACTTGAGATAAGGACCATTAAAGCTACTGGATGAACTTAATGTGGCTCCAGGCATAATAGAAATTGGCATCATAGGGTTGCATTATATCACATGATCTTAGCCTTATTAAACATTACTTCATTTTCTTCATTTTGAAATTCAATTTTTAACGATAGAATAAGAAAATGATGAATCTAGAAATACCACTAGAAAAGAACGGTAGGGAATGTAGATATTTGATACATTGATAAGAGAAAGTAATGAGTATATCCTTCATGCGCTAGACTATCCATCCAATAACAGTCTCTAGAGACTGTGACCCAAAAGGAAAGTTGTCTAGTTATGATCCAGAATGAACACAGGCTGAGCCACAGATCTTTTCATTGCTTTATTCATTCTTTTCTAGACTCACTACACTTTAAGACATTCAGTCTACAAATGGTAGAATGAGATTCAGCCTTCAGGGATGTGCACATCCTTCTGTGTCCACTCACGCCTTCACTCTTTATGCCGATGTTACACCAGGTGTGACAGGGCCTCCTGGAAAATAGAAGTATAAAGATAAAATGCCAGGCCTAGCTTACATGTAATTAGCAAGTTTCAAAAATATCCACTTTCACTCTTCTACTTGACAAGTTTTTGCTGATGTTGAAGCAAAGACTCAGCATGCCTTATCAAGGATCCTGAAGTTGTCCAATCAGGTAAAGTCACAGCTTGTACTATTCAAATGTCATTGCCATAAATGTAGATATTTTACTTTTTGAAGTCTCTGGGATATGCAAATTTCATGAGTATAATCAACGAAGAAGAAATAATACACTTATAAGCAATGAGAGGGCATTTGGGTAACTAAGGCTTCTCCCATGGAAACAAGACCTCCCCCATCCAAGTTGTAATTACCAGAAGCTTCTTCACAGCCTCTGAAGCCTCTGGTCCCAGTTCATCCACACACTTCTTCAGCCCTTGCACAAGATGTTCCACAGAAATACCCAGGGTTTTCAGAAGCATCTTCAAAGGATCAAATAAGGGAATAACGTTGTCTAACGGTAAGGGTAGTTTGTCAACGGGAAGAGGGACACTGTTGATGAGGAAGGCAGTGGCTGCAGAGCAAAGGAGAACAGAGGGAAACATGGTGCATCCTTTCCTGTCTGAGACCCATCACAATCTCACTCCTGCATCCATTCATTTGTATTTTCATGAATATTCATGCCTTTGGAACTTTGCAGGCAGCAGCCCGTCTCCCTAGAACCTTCTCTCTCCAGGTAACTATAGTCCTTTCTTCCTCCTGCCGTCTGGTTTGCTTTTAAATGTTACCTCTCAGAGAAGCCCGCAGCAGCAATTATATTTGAACAGCATCTTCTCTCACTCTTTTCTCATATTTTTATTGTTATCTACAATATCATATACATGCTATTTTACATGCTTAGTCCTCTCATTTGAATAGAAACTTCACAAGACTAAGGTATTTGTGTTTGTTGATGTGCCTGATGCTCAGAATTGACTGGGGCATGTAATAAGAGAAAGTACTGAAAACTAATTCAGTATATATTAACAGGTGATTGGATAAGAAAGAAAGCACTTTGTATATATGCTGTCCACAGTCACAGTTTTCAGGCCAAAGGAGAGGTTCCATAATGTTTCTCCATTCAAGGCCAAGCATGGATGCACTAGGTTACAGTCGATGAAATCAACTCAGTTCAATGTCACACATAATTGCCACCAGTTAGAGCAGAAACAGTTCTGAGACTAAAGAAAGGAGTCACTTAGACAATGTATGTATGCATGTACACACACACACACACACACACACACACACACACACACACACACTTAGTATAGTCATCTGTCCAGAGAGGGAGAGCAAAGTGCAGAATTTCATTGGGTATGACCAATACATAGATGACAGGGTGGTGCTGTAAAACTTTATTAAAATAAGATTTTTTAAATCCTGCAGTACCATACCCATAATTATGGAACTTTTTCCAGAGGACAGTAGGGATTTATCAATGTTTTTTAATGGGACGATTGCATTTGACATTTTTGTTCTAAGGAATAGTACTCACTAGAAGTAGGAAGGGGCATGGAGGGTGAAGATAGGAAGAAATAAGAAGGGATATTTAGAGCCTTAGCAAGGTACTTATAGAAGGGACATGTAGAGAGAATGGAAAATGCACATAATTAGTTCATGATGTATTAATATGTGCACATATCATATAAAACCTATTAATTAATACAATTGACAAGATAATGATTGCAATTTGAAATAATGGTTTATAATTTTCCTGGTAAAAAGGAAGAAAATTACTTTGCATAGAAAATAAACCATAGAAAATGCATGATATATTTTTTGGAAAACCAGTGCAGATACGTAAATACATGCTAATATGTGAACATTCACATAACAATCTGTATCTTGCTAGCTAAGACCTTCCATGGTTCATTTTTTCTTTGAAAAGCTTCTTGTTTCCTGATTCGAATTATGAAACTGAGCCTGGTCCACACCCTGCCTCCATCTTCTATCACCTATTTTCCCTCTCAAACGTTCTCCTCATAGGGCGGTTCTTATTTTGACCCATGTTCCTTTCTGCTGACATATTTGTCTACAAAAGCTTTCTTTGCACACTGCACAACAATGAAATATTCAAAACGGGATAAATTTCTCATAAAAACATCCAATACAAACAATGACCTTAGGTCAGGATCCTTGTGCAGGTAACACTTGGAATCTCATGCTAATAATCTTCATACCGGTCACATTAAACATGTCTGTGAGTGTCTACACCTTTCTGAGGAACACTCTTTGAACCTTTTACCCTTGGTAAACAATGGCTATCATCAAGCATTTTTCTCAGAACCCAAACATCTCATTTTGATAGTTACAGTGGCTCCCTCTAAAAGGAGTGGCTCCGCCTGCTAAGAAGCCAGCCTCTGTACCTTATTAGAAAATGAAACACTTCAGTACACCCACTGCGCTCTGCCTGTATACCTCACTAGCGCGTGCAGCACAATAATTTCTGTAGAAGTCTCATCCCATGCCCAACTGTAAGCACCTTTACCACAGCTTTTATAGCTGATAAATGTAATTGTTTCAAGGGAATCCACCAAACAACCTGACTAATTGGAGATAATAGCAAGAATAACTTCAAAAATCTATTAGGGATTAAGAAAAACGGATGTCCATTCCCCAGTAACAGAATGGGCTTTGTGGACCCTCAGCATGAATTGGTGAATCTACTGTGCATCGGAAGTAGTACTTACATTGGTTTAGCTTGACCGATAGAGGATCTCCACTATCCTCCAACATTTACCAGCGTTTTCTGTGAATCTGAAATGCCTTTTATCATACTCCACAGCTGGTATGCCATTGTGTTATTACAATAGAAACAGAAAAGTAAAGAACTATCGATGCTCCAGATGGAGACTTACCAGAATAACCACAAATTCCGATGGTCACCAGCAGAAAGACAGATAGCAGCTTCATAGCTAGTGTCTGTGATGTTTTCCTGGACTTCGGGATGCAGTGCTAAAGTGCATCAAATCCACAGAGTCAAGAGTTCTGCTTGCCGTCACAGCAATGGATGATTACCCACACAGGTGCTAATATATGCAGCAAATACCTGACTTTCAACCACTGCCTTTTGACTCACCCCCAGCAGAGAAGAACATGAAGGGCATGCTTCCTAAGTAAACACTCTGGAGAGTTTTCTGCTTTTCATCACATCCTTGTGAGAAGCAAAGCCATACACGGAAGTAGTCTCAAGTAGTTCTTTCCCAATCCTTCACATAGAAGCCACGGCAGACGGCAAAGAATTGCTCTCCTGGAAGAACACTTAAGAAGACGTGACGGCTTTATGTCAGGACAAAGGCACACTTTCCTCCAGTTTGTTCTCTCTTTATTTAAAGTTTAGAGAATCGAATTACTTGATGCACTGCCTAGATTTCGCTTAATGACACTGCCATGTTTCTCTTGAATTTACCCACAGATCAGTAATCACATATTGGTTATGACAAAGTCACCAGATCTCTGTTACCTTTCTGGTGACCTCTAGTAATCCAAGGAGATTTCGGGGTGTGTTTATCTATCATCCTCATCTACGTCTATGTCTATGTCTATGTCTATGTCAGCATCATCTATAGCATCTTCTATAACCTCTATATCAATCTACATTCTGAGAAGCAACCCAATTCCATGACTGCCCTCACAGAACTCAGCCATGGGACATCAGAAATACCACATCAGTAAACTACACTTACTGGAATTCATTGGGGGCATTGGCTGAGCACTGAATGCAAAGAACAGGGCACAAGAGAATATTCAATAGGAGAAACAGAACAGAGTCCATGTGGTTCCTGGAATGAGCTGAGAATCCATTCGTCATATTTTACTGCCTATTTCTAACACGACAAAATGCCAAGAAGACAAAGTATGTTGTGAGATCAAACTTGTCATAACTTGCCCCCATATGAAGGTATGATATTGCTATGAAGACTTAACAAAATGCACAAAGACATATGTGTACCAAATCAAATCAAAATTAATATATAGCCTGTTACTAATTTCTATACATTGCTAAATTGTACTGTTGTCCTGTCATTAAATTCAGCTACTGATAAACTAAATGAAAAGACTAAAGCTTGTTTCTGTGCAAACTCAGTGCTGCTTTCTCTGCTATGTACTATTCTGTTTCTCAGACATATTAATACCCTCTTAGTACATAATGTGTCTACGCTGACTTCTCAAAGCTGTCTCCAGAAAGTTATGTCATCATTTCTTTTGACATACTAAATATCCAGTGTCTTTTACCAAGGCTGCCATGGGCTAGTTTGATTTAAAAATCATTGCCTTGCCCTTCTCTCTTCTGATGTAATACAATGAATTTTCTTGATAGTGATTTCTAGAGTTTCCATTTCCCTGTTTCAGGTGACATGCCAGCAGCCACTGTATGTTCTCCTTGCCTCTAGCTCCCTCCAACCAAGGTCTCATCTGTGCTTCTAATGTTCTGAACTCTTATGTAAATTGCCTTTTTAGTCCATATTTCTTATATTTAAGACATGTAGAACCCTTGCTGAGGCCAAAGACAATGACTTCACTCAAATTTCTAATTTCCAGAGGTTGGGAGCAACTCACCCATAAGTGCACTTTTTCATGTGCAAAACAAACAGTGTAGAGTCCAAACGCTTTCCCAGGGCAGGAGCTATGTCATTAAGACACTGTGAATCTCTGTTTCCCTGCCCTCGTCACTGCAGTCATGTGCTAGCTGACTAAAGGAAGTTCAGTAGATCTGGAGCCCATGGAAACTGTTCAAACTAGCCATTCTTTAACTCATTTTCTCTATTTTTCTTACCATTTCCCTTGGAAACAGCAAGAAGAGCTCTTGGCCACATTTTACATACTCATCTCTCTCTCTAAGACCTCGCTGATCCTGTGAGTTCCTAGGCCCTCCCTATGCTAGGCCATGTTCCTGTACCAGATCCAGAATCTATTTACACTGATGGTCAATCAATCTGCTGGTAAGAATATATATAAAATAAAATCTTTTTTAAAATTTATTCTTTGAGAATTCTCAAACCCTTTCTCACATGTTTGGTCTGGAAATGCTAAAACCTTTCTTTGTATCATGGATGTTCATACTAAAATCTCCTTTCTGAGGTTTAGTTATGAGTATCTTGAGAAGGTTGTTTGCTCATTTTGGATTCTAATAGAGCTCTGCAAAGTTTATTATTATGAGGAGTTTTTGGTTGAGGCTGCATGGCTTCAAGTGGTGTTAAGAGAAGCTTTCCTTGAGTGGAGCCTTCCCGCCCACCTGGTTCCAGATCCGCATCAGTCCCAAATAAACACACAAGAGGCTATATTCATTATGAAGCTGTTGGCCTTGCTTTTTTCTTACTGGCTAGCTCTGACTTAAGTATTTACCCCATAATTGTTAATCTAAGTATGTCTCTTACCAGAGAGGTTTCCGAGATTCCTACCCCAATGGCGGTTACATCTCGACTCTCTTGTGTTTCCCCTTCCCAGAATCCTCTTCGACTCCTAGCCCCACCTATCTAGATTCCTATTGGCCAGCAGTAATTTATTGACATATACACAGGACTTCCCCAACATCTCCTCTTTTCTGTTTAAACAAAAAGAAAGGTCTTAACTTTAACATAGTCAAATTGTACATGACAGAACAGTTATCAAGTAAGAACACAGTTACAACATTTTGTCTATTAACATTTAGCAAGATCTAAAGAAAATATCATCCATCCCATCCTTGTGAGTCCAAAGTCCTATATGTAGCTTATCTTTTATCATAACTAAGGAAAACTATAATTATAACTATCTGTCTTCAACTCCATCAAAGACCACAGAAGGATAATATATAAACACTAGGATTGACAGAGACATCTTACTGCCTGGACAGTCACCCAAAGTTCCTCTGTAACGTTGGGGCATCCATCTTCAGCCCATAGGCCACAATGTGTCTGGAACACTTCTCAGCAAAGCAGGAAATTTCAAACTGTCCATCTGCGTTGGCAGTCTGTCAGTCATTTTTCTTTGTCCTGCAGAAAGTCTCGTAGACTCTTCATGAAGCAGGAACCCTGTAAGACTGAGTTCAGTAGTCACTTTCCTGTGGGTCCTGCATGTCCAGTGTATACAACAGCAGTCAAACAGTCTAGGCAAGAGCAGTTTCTTGCCCAAATGGCTAATCTTGCCATGTTGAAAGCAAACTCCATAACAAGTTTCTTCGATGCCCATCTTCCTCTCAGACGTAATTGGTGCTGCCAGGAGCAGACATTTCTCATTGTCAAGAAAAACCCTAAACCATTTTAAATGCCATGTTCTGAAGGTCTTTGAGAGGTTTGAAGACTGTCCATCTAAAATATATTTTTGTATATCTAGAAAACCTAACTTATCTAACTATAAATTCTAACTATTATAAGTAACTATCTATTGTCTGTATTTAATTATGCATTACATTTTAAAAGAACAGTATAAGTACAATACTTAGTCAAGAGGAGAAATATACTTATCACAAAATTGACTTTGAATTTGTATCAATAAATGAAAAACAATACCCATACCCTAATTCCCTTTTTTACCATTAAAAAAGATTGGCTGTGATCATTAGCCAATTATAAACAATCCCATTTAAATGAAAACAAAGATTTATAAACAAGATGGGAATTGGGACATCGCTCATTCCAAACTGCTTCCTGCTGGAAGGGGGTGCTGTTTATACCATGGGGACAATGACAAAACTCAGAAACCTGTATAAGTCCGTATTTTCGGGGTCTGTAAAGCTGTATCATCTTAGCTGTCTCAGTCGTTGGAACACCTGGTCCACTGCTTCCGGGGGTCTTGGTTCGTGAAACCACAGAAGCCTGGAAGGAATTCTCAGCTTTTCATTTTCTGTAGAAACATAAGCAAATTCTCCTTTTCCAAGTAACATATCCTTATACTTAAATTTTGAGGTCAAGGCATTTTCAAAAGATACAAGTTGTATTAATTTAGCAGCATTTATAAGCAAGTGTACTTTAGTAGCAGTTCCTTCCTGAGCAAGCAAAAAACTGAAAAACAAAATACCGGACAGTATCCAGACTCTCTGTATTTTTTCCATCTTTGCACGGCTTATTTATTTATCTATTATTACTTTATTTATTTTACTTTTATTTATTTTTCTCTGAGACAGGGTTTCTCTTTGGAAATCTGCCTGCCTCTGCCTCTGGAGTAAATCCTACCGGCGTGCGCCACCACAACGCCGGCTTTTTTATTTATTTACCACTTTGTCGTTTCATTTTCTCTCTCAATCTCACATATATTTTTAAACACACTGTAACCCTTTAGAGGTTTTTCTTTATCCAAGTCTGACTTTACTGTAAATCTTTATGTTTTTCTGGCCACGTGTCTTATCTGTAAAACCGGGGCTGTTTTAAACTGCCGTTTCAAGATGGCGGGCGTAAGCGTGACTCCAGCTTACCGCCTCAGTCCATGCTGACATCCAGCAAAAGCTGCCACTTCCAGCTGTACGTACACACCTTTAAATCGTTAGCAGAGTCTCTTAAAATAACCTTGTTGGTTTTTTTTTCTTTTTATGCCGAGTCAGGAAGACTCCAGTAAACGAGCCGCGTGAATCTCGGCTTGTTGCTAGCAAAACACCTGAGAAAAATGCTGCTACCAAAATCTGTGCTTCTCTCTGTTCTTCTGTTTCTAAAATTCCTTTAAAGCTTTTGTCATTCTGCGTGGAAATTCATGATCCCACTCCTGACATCATTTTGTTAAGAGATGCTTTATCTTGCTAGCTGCTTTGGTTTATCTCCCACCATCCACCTGGGCTCTGCCACGCCAGCCTGGTTCTAGAGCCGCATCAGTCCCAAATAAACACACAAGAAGCTATATTCATTATGAAGCTGTTGGCCTTGCTTTTTTCTTACTGGCTAGCTCTGACTTAAGTATTTACCCCATAATTGTTAATCTAAGTATGTCTCTTACCGGAGAGGTTTCCGAGCTTCCTACCCCAATGGCGGTTACATCTCGACTCTCTTGTGTTTCCCCTTCCCAGAATCCTCCTCAACTCCTAGCCCCACCTATCTAGATTCCTATTG